GGTCTCTGCTGCTGGGGGTCTCGGGGCGGCACGCTGGCCCCGGCACTCCCGCACGAGGTAGGCCCAGGCCCGGTCCACCCCCTCGCCCTCCACGCGGCAGGGCTCCCACTCAGGAAAGGGGAAGCGGCCTGAGACCACCAGGGCGTCCTCAGGCAACTCCGCCAGCAGCTTCTCCTGCAGGAGCGGGAGCTGGAGAGGGAGGAAACCACTTCCGTCACTGGGCCGTTAGCGCAATTAAGGGCTGGAACTGCAGTTCCAATTTCTCAGACCGGATGTTAAATCTCCGTAACAAAATCTATTCATTGGCGCTATAGGAAAATCGAGCACAAAATCAGGAACTTTGTGAAAGTGCTGTAAGCCGGCATGTTGAGTTCCAAAGAATTGCCATGTGAAGCGGCCCTTCCTGCTCACTAGTCACTGTAATGACTAATAGGTTGTGCAGCAGACATTTCACCACAGGAATGTTTCACCATGATCTGCATGCATCGTTAACAAGTAAGTAGTTTTTGTTGGCAGAACCGTCTCGAAATGAAAAGCAGTATTTCTGTTTGATTAAAAGAGACGTATTCACAAGCCCGCTTGTTTACAATGTAGTAGGGCTGCTTCACCTCACCGAAAACTTTGTTGCCCCATTCTGAATCGCAGAATACCTGCGCATACCTGGAAATGTTGTCTATTTTGTGATGTAAATTGGAGGTTTTACGTGTTACTGTGTAGATTTTACTTATACGGTGGTTTGAAACACGCTCATCAGTGCGGACTCTTTGTTACCCCAACATACAAAAAGAGCTCTGCAGTTCCTCTTTAAGGAGCTGGCTGTACCAAAGGCCAGCAGGGGAACATAAGCAGTCTTAAAAGTATGATTTTCAGTTTCTTCAGTTTTTGCTGTCGTTCCCAGTAGGATCTCTTTTATAAATATTATTGAAATTAACGATGCCTCTATCCTGATTAAGGATTCACCAATGCCATGATTATAGACACTTCCTACAAATTTACAATTTTTTATTCATTCTAAAAGCTTTTAAAGGGATAATACATGATCAAACATAAACCATGAAATCTGGATTACCATATATGACTAATTCTGAACATACAGACTCACTGGGATTGAGCATTGTAAGAAAATGACACAAACACAGTCAACGACAAGACAGCTTGTTGAAACTAACACACTGACACGCAATCTTCTTACAGGACGTCTTATAAGACCAGATCTCTTAGAACTGACGATTTGGAGGTTACTTGACAAGCACAGTTTTTCCTTTTGGAAAATCTGTTCTTGCAAACACCCCGATTTCAGGAGACTGGAGTTGTAAAATAACAAAAGGCACAGCCTTTTAATTTAAAAAATCAATTTAAGAAAATAACGTGTTTCAAAATAAAATATAAGACTGACATCAAAAAGCATGCTTTAGGATGCACATCATATATTGCTCTCACACCGAGAGTTCTTTAGACTGCAACACAACAATTCCTGCTCTCTCACACACAGACACGAACTCTCATGTACTCTAGCAGCTTACTGACCGAGAAAAATTAACCTTTTGCAGTACTCACCACACTGGGAGCCAGAAACACAGTGACATTCTTATACTCCGCGAGACTGACCTGAAAAACACAAAGACAACTACAGACTGGGACACATTTAAAAGGAAAAGTCCTTTTCATATTCCCAAGAGAAATAAATACCTACTGAATATGACAAGTGCAAGTGAGGTGCTTTCATCTTGACTGACACCAGAATTAACGGCCACATGTCAGTGCACTCCTACTACAGTATGCTGTAGTGCAATGGATTTTTTAAATCAATGGAATCACTGGAGAGCTGCATTAGCTGTACGGTTACAGCTAAATGCTTACAGCAGACCTGCACCAATACAGGTCATAGAGGTTAAAAAAAGACGAAATACCCAGTTCTATGCAATCAATGTCACAATGACAATCTAAGCCATTTAACTGAATGCAGACTCTGATGCTTCCGTAATATACTTTTTTTGTAGGGTGTCAGTGCATTATTGTGGCCCTAACGATGGCTTCTACTTATCCTTTCTGCAAGAGCTTCAGGTTTCCAGCAAACAAGTCATTTGTGTTGTGTCATACTAAAACCTACAGTATGTGTACACTGTTAAATGAGCATCTCTTGGATCTACCAGTTGCAGCTTAAGGCTGTTTCTGCTGCTCTCCACGGTCTTCCACACCGCAGGCTGGAGATAGTCCTAATCAAGCCCATGCCTCGCTCACCTTCCACAGGTCCTGTCGCAGGTAGGACACCTTCCCATAGTGCCCGGCTCTCCAGGCGTGGACACTGGAGAGGCGGATGAGCCAGGGGTTGAGCTCGTACCCCACAGCGGGCCGGAAGCCCTGTTTGTACGCCTCCAGGACCTGACACACAGGACAGCGCCATCAGACCCTCCTGGACACAGCCATGGATGAACACGCAGATCCTAACCTGCGAACTGGCCACAACCCCCCCCACAATAGGCAACAGAGCCTCTCGTGAGCAGCACACCTATGGATCTCCCTGTCTAAATACTTCAGAGACCTCTGAAATTTAAGTCTTGCTTAAAGAGCTTTTTTCCCAAGCAGTTCTGATGCATACTATACTTTATCCTTATCTTTCGGACTGGACTTTAGAGGCATGAATACTTTGATGAAAAAACCCTGGTCCAGAACAGATACATCGGGCTGATTTCAGGCAGGATATCGGACTATCCCACTGCCCCTGGCCTGCACTGCCCAGAGTGGGGTACTTACTATCCTGCCGTCTCCAGAGCCCAGATCTACGATGCCCCCTGAGCGCCCCTTCAACAGCGTCATCACATTGCGCACCTGCTGCCGGCTGGCAGGGAGATACGGCACCTGCAGGGGCAGAGAGGCACTACAGTCACGCTGAGCCCAACACACTTCCCCACCGCCAACTGCGAGAACAAGGCCACATATATCTGCCAATCTCTGCTAAAACCAGGTGTTCTCACCCTAAATCTCAAGACTTCCTCCCTTTATTACTCGCAAACCTGGTCTTCCTAGAAGCCTAGAAGTCCCTTATAGCTTTCCTGTATTTGGTATCCTTAATTCTGTACAATTTCTTAGTTTTTTAACTGGAATTTTAAACACACAAAAAGATAAAAGGAGTCTAAAGAGAATTCATCATCTCATGTTCATTTAGCTGGAAATGTGACCTCTGTTCTATACCTTGTTAGACTGGGATTTCTTTAATGACTCACAGGATACACTGGCTGCTTCTCACAGACCTTAACTCCCACTGCACCCCCCTGCACCCCTGATCTGAGACACGCGGGCATGCTCTTGAGTGACATCTGGGTATTTTCAGACTGTTACCCATTATCAGAGAAAAAAGCACAGCCAGTCAAAATTATATTTCTTTTTCCTTTCATGCCAAAACAACTGCACAGCCCACAAAACGTGTCTAAACCGTGGGCAGTATAAAAGCGAGGAATGTTAACTGCCGTTTGTGGGGTACCCCTGCAGCACCGCCGAGAGTCGCAGTCCAGCTGAAGGTTAGGAGAACCCCGTTTTAAAAAGAGCACACTGTGGACTCTCTCACCTGCAGCTTCAAAGGCACCCTCCTGAAGCCGGGCATGAGCAGGCCCACCCACACGCCATAGGCTGCCAACCCAGTGCCCGCGGCGATCTGCAGGAGGCCCCACGCCCCCAGCCGCCTCTCCTTGAAGTCGGCCAAGACCTCCTCTGGGGTGTCCTGATCCATGCCCGCCGCCGGTGAGGAAGACACCAGTCACGGGCCCAAGGGGGGGCAGCAGGGAACCTCGAGGGCCGCAGGCCAGAGCTCGGCGAAGCTCTCAGTAAAGCCGCTGTCCGCGTGCAGCCTGGGGAAAGGGTTCAGCTGGTTCAGTCAAAGCTTTTGTTAAAATGCAACTTTTGGTGGGGGGAGAAACAAAACTCTCGACGGTCTTGAGCTGTTATAGTCAGTCACAGCCTTCTGAACAACAGGTAACCGCCTCTCGAAATGGAAAATGTTGTGATGCCCCTGAAAAACTCAGAATGTGTTTTTTTCTGACTATAAGGTATTCTATTTAATTAATATCTTAAAAATTGCAACATGCTGTACACTTTGTTTTTTATCAGGACAGACTCTTGATCCTAACACTGACTGTACTGTGAAACTTTCAAGCAAGGAGAGTAAGTAATGAGCGTAGTGCCATGAACTTCTTCTACAGATCAGGAGGTTTGCCCTTGGAACACACAATTAAGAGTCAGGCAATAGACGGTCATTCTCTCTGAGAGGGGCAAAACTACAGACATGAAGCAGAGGACACGAGTGGAAAATACAGAGAAGTGCATTTAAAACTGAGGACGAGACAGACTTCATGAATGATTGTGGGAGCATGAAACAAGCTGCCCAACCATGGGATTGAATCCAGTACCTGCAGACGAATTGGCTGCGATTAGCTACTAGCAACCAAACATGCTGATCAGCCCAAATACCTGCTTCTTGTTGGCAGATGTCTTTAAATTCTTTTTTCCAGTACCTTTGGCAGATTCCATGTGCCATATTAGGCAAGGTTAAAGTGCAAAGG